CCTCAACCTACACACGCGACCAAGCCGGCAACAAGGTATGTGGAAGGTGTCTTGGACAGACTACGCCTCGTGAAAAGTCTAAACGCCGGCGATTTGGTATTCGGAAGTCAGTCGCAAACGCGCGGAACCGAGTATAAAAATAACGGCACTCCGCACGCAGAACCAACAACCTGCACAACTCTATTCACCGACCGGAGTCAGCGCCTAGAAATTGCGCCCCCGAATGCTTTACACAGACAGTTGCGTACCGAATGCGCAGCCGAGAGTCCAGGTGATCAGTCCGGGCCCAATAAGCAAGCGGGTTGACTCAATGTGTCCTCCAGCAGAAAACTGACTCCAGCAGCAGTAGTAGCTCCCCGCGGAAAGAGTAGAATCTGAAGATCCTGGTGTGCGTGCCTCACAGCAGTCCTCTGCGACAGTGGAAAGAGTCGCAGCCGTCGCGGACCTCCACTCACACACACACCAGGCTCATAACCTATTATGGATATTGTGGTATACCCCAGCAAGGTGGTAGAGAGGCTGTGTCCTTGACGCTAATCAAGTTGGTGACACTAGTGTAGTGGACGCCCTGGAAGACGTGAGTGCTTCCGTGTGATGAAGAAGGTGCCAAGATGTTGTAAACACTGGCGCTTATGTGGCCANGTATCAGCAGACGAAAATAGCAAGTGCTGGGCGGTGAAACTGTTACCCTAACCCTAGTCAGACACCGGAGGTCACCGTCCTGCTGGTGTAAACCGTCCTGCTGGTGTGAGAGTGCGGGCGGTGGTGCTGCGGGATGATTCGGATTGATTCCTACAGCAGTAGAATACACATTAAAAAAAACAAACACACCAACCGTGGTCTTCTGCAATGCTATAGCATACGCTTCAGCATCAGCAACAAACGGAAGGACGGGAAAAACACCTAGGCATGAGTTCTGCGCCTCGTACGTCTCTCTCTCCCTGCCCCCCTCCCTCCCATCTCTCCCTCCCTCCTTCTCGATATTCTCACTTGCGTAGTAGTCGTTCCGTTGGAGGATCGGTTCCAGCAACCCAGCCAGTTTGTTGAACACCGGTTCCTCCATGCGATACATCCTCCGGAAGAGCTTCCGCTTCTTGAGGTCAGCAGCGTGATCCTCCCAAACCAGGCGCCGTGGCTCGTGGATAGCCGCACGCGTCTTGTTAGCGCTAGCGTGCACAGCTACAGAGGTGACCACTGCCGCCGCGCTCAGCACCAGAATCACCGCAGCAGCAGCTGCTTTCATCTGCCGCACCAGCTCTTGGCGACCGGATGCACGCCTGAATCGTTGGCTCGGTGGGCCAGCACACGACGAACCAAGAGGCGCGCCGCGTTTCCTGCGTTCCGCCATGGCCCTACCGCTATCCAAGTACCCTCCGCTGCTGCTTCTTCCTTGTAGTTGGTCCTGTAGGTCCTTTAGCTGCTGGGTTTGTTGTGATGCTCCAATTTATTTGGACAATTTGTCCAAAATTTGGAAGCTACTGAGTACAAATTTTGGCGCCCAGGTTCGTTCCGAATTTTTGGACTATATTTGGACAAACCCCTCTGTACAAGTTCCGGAATTTCGGATAATTTGTACATGTGTACAAAATTTGTACAAAAAAATTTCATGTATAAAACGGCCCTTAGGGTCGACCTAAACAGGCCAAAAAAACCCTGCGAAACCTGCGATCACAGTTTTTACCTGCGAATATGGAGGCTTTCTACCTGCGATCGCAGGTCGGGAGCAGGGCCGAAAAAATCACCTCTGCTCCTTTTCTGCGATCGCAGGTACAAACCTGCGATTTCTGCGATTCTCTTGAGAGCATCACGTTGGATCGGGCACAGCACACCAAGCCACCTGTATCACCCCCGTAGCTGCACTATAACCCCCAGAACTGATCGCCAGAGTAGGCTATAGGGTCCATGGCCCACAATAGAAGGCGCCGGGAGCTTCGGGGAACCTCACAGACGGCTCCGCAAAGGCGGCGACTGCGGCGCTCCGACCAAAGAGACCATGATACGACTTCTACTGCTTCGATCAAGGCCGCCGTGATGGCCTTCCTTGTCCTGGTCGATGTTGCAACTTCCTCTCACAGAGAGAGAGGAAGACTGGTCTATCCTAGACGCCTGCCGACGACCTTGCAGGGCTGAGCGAGCGGCGGTACTCCCGGCGACGACCTCGCGAGACATGCCTGGCGGAGGGCTGATGCCCACAGCAGGAGGCATTTGAGGTCGTCCTAACCCATAACCAGCAGCAGCAACTGCTTCCCCGCTCGTCTGGAACCGTAAAGGAAGGGACCCAACCCTCCTGGGCCTTGATACCCGCGGTGTCACACTGTTTTGGTCGGCCATGGTGGATGTTTGTCTGCTGTGTACGGCCTCTGCTGTTGTGTACGGACTCTGCGGTCGTCGGGAGCGGTTTGACCGCCAAAATCGCAGAAATCGCAGTTTTTTTTATTTTTGTGCTCTGCTTCGTTTAGAACGCCCGCATTTATTTTTCTGCGATCCGGGGTCTGAAACCTGCGATCGCAGGTAAAATTCCGAGGTCGTTTAGGACGACCCTCATTCTACAGCAGTAGGTACAGCAGTGTCTGCACATGCGTACAGCAGCAGTCGTTGTATGGGAACGACAGGAAGGTACAATGGTGGCGCTGAAATATATTCAGCAGTATGAATAGAGCGTGCAACACACGCCAGCACCACTATGCATTATACATGCATGCCTCGTCGGGAGCCTACACAGGTTGTCGTATCCCGCAATGATAGCATACAAGAGTCGACACGTGCTCCTCATATGCATATGCGAGGTTAGTTGTGTGTTCCGTGAAGAACACAGAGCCGTCTCACAACCCTAGTCGGGAGGTGTATTGGGCCGGTACTCTGGCGAGTTTAACAATGACATGCGTCTTTTGACGCTGGCGATTGCAAACACACCCCCTATGATGACACTGGTACATATTTCCTGACCGACACACGCTCATCCTTTGAACATTTTCTGCGCGTCGCTCCGAAACCCCACAGCACTGCGATCGCCTATCAACGGCGCCATAGCTGTAGAAGTCCGCGTTGCCGTGGCGTTGAGGATCCTGGCTGGCGCTAGTTACTGGGATGTTGCCCTCATGTTTGGCTTGTCGGTGCCGACCACGTACCAGATCTTGTGGTCGGTGATCGACGCCATCAACAAGACGCCTGCGGTTGGGGCATTCGACTTCCCATTGACCGAGGAATGCTGCATGCGAAATGCCCACAGATTCAAGGTGAGGCCTAACGGTGGTCATTACTGCTGCTGTGGGTTATTCTTGGCGGCATCCTCTTGACCAGCCGCGGGATGTCGTTTTTTTTTTAATATCGTCTGGCGTTTCCAGCCGTTTTAGTGTAGGGAGGCCTGTACACAGCCTTCGACGGTAACGCAGGAAAAAAAATGTCGTCCCCGGCGGATACAAGTTCGGATTGTCATCGTGGTCAGCATGCCTTTAATCGAAAAACAACCCCCGGGTCCCGGATGGTTCGCCAGCTGTTGGTCTTTGTACAAATGGCCTTTTTACAAATAAATGTTTTTTTTTGTGTCATCATTGGTGTATGCTGGCCGTGTTGGTTCTGCCCCGCAACAGTGGCCCGGCAACTGCTTTTAGTCAACCACGTGGCTCTTAGATACCCTGGTACGTTTTTACCGCTGAACCTGACGCAACATTAGGATTAGCAAACACGGTATGTGCACCGTTGCTGGTGATGGCGCCGTCGCACACGACATCAACCCACACAACGTACAGCCGAACGCAATTTACCCAAATTCGTCAACGTCCATCTCTCGACTAACTTTTTCCCCCTTCCCGGCACTGCTACTTTCCCGCCCTCGTGTCTGCTGCCTACAAATGCAGGAGAAGAGCACCGATGGCATTTTCTCCTGGGTCGTCGCCGCCGTGGATGGTCTGTTCATCAAGGCCAAGGCTCCGTGTGCGAAGGACACCGCCAACGTCATCGCGTGCTACTCCGGCAGCAAGTCCGCGTACGGCATCAACGTGCAACACGGTATGTGCACCACCGACTACCGGTTCTGCGCAATGTCGGCGATCTCTCCAGGCTCCACGAACGACTGGGTGGCATGGAATCGATCTTCCCTCGCCAAGGCCGTCGCCCGCTTGCCCGCCGGATTTCACATCATTGGTGACGCCGCCTACCCCATCGGAGAATAGCTTCTGACGCCGTACCCTGGGAGGCTCCTGCCGCCGGGTGAGGACTCGTTCAACTTCCACCTGAGCCAGCTTCGTGTCAAGATCGAGCAGAGCTTCGGCATCCTGGTTTCGACTTGGGGCATTCTGTGGCGACCTCTCCGTGTGCAGTTCGGAGGACGCGCGGATCTCATCACGGCTCTTTTTCATCTGCACAACTTCCTGCAAGACGAGAAGGTAGCGCCGATCCAGCTTGCAGAGGAGGACTCCCGCAGCGGGCGCAACCGGCTGGCCCTCTGTGCTACGCAGCGCACCTTGCCGACTGGCTGGCAAACGGAGCAACCGGCTCCTTCGAGGAGCGGTGAAACCCCGTCCCGAGCGGCTATCCGCACGGCCCTGGAGTTGAAGAAGCAGTGGAGGCCGGACTACAACCGTCGGAGGGATTCGTAAGCACGTATCCAGCTCGCATCGCGTCGCGTGCGCACAAGCGGGGAGTGGGGACGGGTCTACATAGGGGCGGATGGAGGCGGATGGGGGGGAAGGTCGCTAC